ACGGTACTATGAATCAATTTCCGTTAATTTCACCGAAAATCACGTTTCCCAATTCAAAGGTATGCTAAATATACATTTTTGTTAAAGAAAAGCCCACGACCCGAGCTCCGACCAGGATACTATTCCAGGGGAATTTACTCTTTGTAGAACTGTAAATTAAGAGATATTTCCAGTGGAGGTTTCTGGAAACTTGTTGGTAGGAACTTCAAGAGGACTCTGTCGGGAGGTAACTCCTCTCCCTCCTTGCTCCTTCGGTACGCTAGCGCGACCAACAATTGAAAAATGTCTGTTGCACAAAGTTGTGCTACTCAGACTTGAGACATTTTTAAAATCAGCATCTCTAATATTTGTTAACAGTTTACCTGATGGAATAATATATACTCGATACAATCATAAATCGTAGTGCGAAGGTGCTAGGAATCACTAATTTCCCGATAACGAATTTGGAAGTATGTAATATTAGGGTGTTTCATTCTGGAAAAAGGTTGAAATTTTTGATAGGCCACCCCCTAGTTCAGTTCATAACACAAAAACAAACATCTGTGCAAAAATTAGCTAAATTGGTCAACGTTAAGAGGTCGCGCCAACGTTTTCAATTTTGTTCGGGATTTTCGTCAAATTAGTATGGGAGAAAATCATTCTAACTTTTTTCTTAATGAATTGATTTGCATGATACGGCCAGGATTCATGTTGGGCTCCTACAGCGACGCATGTAATGACGGTAAGAGTCTGAAGGAATCGGAAATCAAGGAGAGGGCTATACTATGGATACTATGGCTTGTTTCCTCATTGGGATACGAGCTCTGACCAAACTTTTTCTGCCAATTGAACCACCTTTCAGCAGCATTGTCGTATCGTGGAGCGAGATTGTGCGCGATGATAAAAGAAGAGCTGGAGTACTTCTCGGTTATTCGGAATTACCGGTGGTTCACCGATCAACCACTTCTCCGTATCACTTCTCAACTCCATGGCACTATTGTATCCAGAGATGACAGCATAATATGTTTATAAACATCGAGGTAAAAAAAAATCTGACAAAGCATACTATGAAATATGTCATATCAGCATACCTGCTTTTCTGCTCAAATCAAGGTTTATCTGCCAGCTGAGTTCCCAAAGCCAATTCCTGTTTTCTGAAGCATCAAATCGACTTGCAGTCTTAAACAAAGTTGTTTATTATAGTTTTAAGTATAACATATTTTGATTTCATGCAAATCAATTTATTAAGAAAAAAGTTAGAATGATTTTAGTGGGTCATCATTTTCTCCCATACTAATTTGACGAAAATCCCGAACAAAATTGAAATCGTTGGCGCGACCTCTTAACGTTGACAGATGTTTGTTTTTGTGTTATGAACTGAACTAGGGGGTGGCCTATCAAAAATATCAATCTTTTTCCAGAATGAAACACCCTAATGTAATATAATATAATTTATATACTTAAGGTAATAACATGTTATTTTAGCATTGTAGCTGGTTCTTAGACATCAAGCTGAAAGGGTTGATCCGATGGCTTTCGCAAGCACCTCTCCGCAATAGGACCTATCAGATTTTGTAAACAAAGCTTGCAATGAGAAGACGGATTGCATGCCAACTCGACAAGTGGTTGGCAGCAAATCTGAACTGCCATTTGAAAATGGCTGAACTTTTTCTTCCATTTTTTATAAACAATTGTAACGTAAAAAATATAAGACCTACACAAATTTGTTCAAACAGTTAATTATAGCAAAATGTCTTTAATTAAAAAAAAAAAAAAACTAAATATAAATATTTCTTCCAACACTGAAAAAAAAAATCATTTTCAAAATGTTGAAAAATAAATATTTAATCTACACACTGAAAAAAAAAATATATATATAAAAATTCAGTTCAACCATATTTAAATGGTAGTGCACATTTTAAAGAAAAAAGCATGCAAAGATGCTTATGTAGACGAAGTCTGTACATCCTCCAAGTTACATTGAATTCTGATAGCCAACCCCACAGAAGCTTTGGGATGAAATTCGTCCATATTTAGATTACTTTTTAATAAGAAACATTAAAAAGTAATTATTTCAGATTCGTAGAGTTATTTCCTAACGATTGGTGTATCTTGATTTATATTTCATCTATAAATATCAAAGTTATAAGTGTTCAAAACCTAACACCTTTTCGTGACGGTTGCAATTTTAGATTTTCGATTTACCCCCTGTACCTTTCCGTAAGACCTAGTCTATGTCAACAATTCTGATGTTAGAAAATATGTAAACCTTGGGGCAAAATCATCTTTTACAATTCGATTTGGAAGAGCAATGGAAAAATCGTGTTTTAGATCGTTTTTCTTTGTTGTCCTGGAACATTGGAGTAATTCCTGGATTCTGTTATTTAGGAAATTGAATTGAGATGTCGTACTAGAAAAATGAAAGTTTGTAACAACCTTATCTTGAAATATGAATGAACAGGCAAATTAGCTAAGAATGCTTGTTTTCCAGTTTAGCCATAGGGTACTTGAGCAAAGGATTATAGCAAGTTCTGATACCCGGTTATCAAGATTTGATAACTGAACGTGTTATCATTGTGGTTGAAAAAAAAAATACACCTTGGATCTTACAAAACTTATTGATTTAGTTATCATTGAAAACATCTTGATAACAAATTCTGTGATCCTTGCATTCTTTTTCAACAAATTTCAAATTAATGTATCAATTTGATATAAAAGCCTTGCATTGATAGTGGAAATATGATTGGCAGTGTTTTTTTATTCTTACCGTGCGGATAATATTTGAAGTTTCGAACTTACCCTGCATCGTTTCGTATTATTTCAAGATAATAAAATTAGTCGAGATTGATAACTAGATTAGTAATGTGAGAACAACTGAAAACAAAATGATATCTGGAATAACAAGACTTGTTTTCAAGATGATATCAGGTTGTTATTTAGCTTTGCTCGGGTAGAGTACCAGTTATGGTCATACGTTCCTATTATTGTGTGCCAAATATGGCATATGGGAGTTCCACAGAACATAATTGGAACCCATAATAATTGGAATGTATAGCCATAACTGATACATCTACCCTACTGCAATTGAATTTTCCATAAAAGATGAACATCTGTTCTGAAATATTCAATGTATATATTTAATTACGTAATTGCAACGTAAAATAAATTTTATCAGAATAAATAGCCACTTATTTAAAAATACCAGAATAACTAGCGACTGGATATTAGTCTGAAGCAAAATTTGAAATTTTCGCTCCACAGTGCTCAATCGGGCCCTGATTAGCCTTCCAACATTTGAACTCATTTAGTGAGAAACTGACTTGGCACAAACCATTTGAAGTTTATATGGGAATTAGTATGGAGAAACCATAATTTCGGTTCATATCTATCTCAAAATTCACCAGTTCACTCTAGTTTAGAAAATAATAGCTGAGCTTGTTGAAATTTTCTCAGCTACAACTTTGTTAAAGACCACTTTTCGATCAAATGTAAGGAATAAAAATTATTAATGATTCAAGTCACTGATGTCTTATGATCATGCTCAATCAACTGTTCAGCAGGCAACATTGGTGTTTATGGCACGTAGAATAGAGGACAAAAAGCATGGCTACTATGTCATCCTGCAGAATACAGTGTTGCCCACAATACAGTTGCTTAATCTTGCCATAAGATTATCAATCTCTTAAACAATTAATAACTATTTAGTTTGACGTTTGGCTGAAAAACGATTTTCTGCAAAGTTGTAGCTGATAAAAATTCCCATAAGAATAGCAATAGAATTTGTTAACAGTACAATATGTAAAAAGACTAGAAGACAATGAACAAAAAATTTTGTTTTCCAATAGTAATTTCCATATAAACTTCAAATGGTTTGTGCCAAGTCAGCTTCTTATCAAATGAGTTTAAACCTTCGGAGGCTTATCAGGACCCGATTTGAAACCGTTTGAACACTGTGGAACGAAAATTTCAAGTTTTGCATCAGCCTACTAGATATGCGCAAACATAAAAAGAATGAAGTAATGAAATTGGGTTGTTAGTGGAATGCTAAATAAAACAGCAAAAAAGGGTTATCTTCCATTTAATTCCACTTAATTAATTTTGGTATCCATGACAGATACGTATTTCGACTACAATGTGCAGTCTTCATCAGTGTCATTCCCACTAAAGAACTTATCAAAATCTAACCCCCTTAAGTACTCATCCCCTAGGTAAAAAAAGCCAAGATCATAGGCATAAAAATGATGAAGACTGCACATTGTAGTCGAAATACGTATCTGTCATGGATACCAAAATTAATTAAGTGGAATTAAATGGAAGATAACCTTTTTTGCTGTTTTATTTAGCATTCCGCTAACAACCCAATTTCATTACTTCATTATGATGGCTACCAAGCCTTTGAGGATTTTCCTTATTAGAGAGTTGTATAGATTTTTCTCCTTTAGCTTACTTAAATCTTTGGTTTTTATTAGTTAGGTAGGTTCCGATTCAGCACATTGTAGTTTCATTTTTATACCTATGATCTTGACTTTTTTTAACCTAGGGGATGAGTACTTAAGGGGGTTAGATTTTGATAAGTTCTTTAGTGGGAATGACACTGATGAAGACTGCACATTGTAGTGGAAATACGTATCTGTCATGGATACCAAAATTAATTAAGTGGAATTAAATGGAAGATAACCTTTTTTGCTGTTCCTAAAAAGAAGTTCTACTGTCCTGAATACACCTTTATGCAGCATTTGTAAATGAAGGTTTTAGAGAGATCTAATAGTAGGAGTCGGGTTTATTTCACTGACTCCACAGTTCTGCAATTTTGTATGAACTATGAACGTGGCATATGGAAGCTAAATTTATACAGGTCAACGTATTTTTTTAGATAAAGAAGAAATTGCACGGAAGAACTAAACCATTATTCGGGACGGAAGGGTTAAATGCGTCAGAAAAAACTCCCTTGTTGTTAGCATGTACTCATCACGAATAGGTAGATGTGTTAATTCAATATCAATACATTTTGCTACTTCTAGGCGACTAACCCTCACAAATTTGAAATTGAAATTGTTCAACAACTCCGGTGTGCAACTGCAGCAGCTTGTTTACTCGTACAAGTATTACCAATTGAACGACGATGATTTCAACTTCAAAACCCCTGAACAAATTATGGAAGCTGAAGACGCCATCTCAGAGTTTCCACTTTTCCAACAAGAGTGGGAGCAACCACCGGTACGTGGGATTGTAATTTCGATAAAATTGCTTGCAAATCTTACCTCTTCTTCTTCCAGGTAAACACGCTACACTCGGAGCAGACGGCAATCCTCGTGGCCACCCTCCAGCTTTCCACCCTGGACCCCTTGCAACTATCAACCCTTTACGAACTTTTCGTAAACTACAACGTGGCCACTGTTGAACAAGATTCTTGCGACCGCCTTCATCTATTTCTGGGTTCAGTGGAAGTCAAACGAACGGATCTATATAAATCCAACCTTGCGGTAGCCTTCAACGGACGCGACACTTACAAAGATTTGCTGACTGTTACGGCTACTTCCGAATTTCTGGCATTCGAATTGGTCTTCCAAAAGACACCGAATCGCGGTTTCGATCGATTTTGCATCGAGACACTGAAGTTTCGTTCGGTGAACCTCGCCAGCTGTACTACAGATATTCAAAAGGTAGGTGCCGAAATTGTTATTCATCGATAGGTGGAAGGGTTTCGATTGATAACGATAACGAAAACGTTGGGTTTATTGCCTCTCTCGTTTATCTTGGTTTGACGAAAGGCTTTAACATCATTTGATACTTTGATTACGGTGTCAATAAGGTTTTTTACCTAAGATGACTAAATCAATTTATGACTAAAAACTATTAGAACGAATAGAATTTCTCATGGATCGAGTTTCCGGTTTCAGCGATGTAGACAAAACAATGAAATTAGATAATCTCTTCCCGAGAAAGGCATTTGCCACTTGTAGATGAATTACCCATTTTTACGCAGGAACTCCCAAACATTCTATATTATGACGATAACGGTTACTGGCGCGCAGTGCTGATAAGATTAGATGAGCTGAAATTGACTAGACAGACATTGAAAATATACAGCAGGTAAGCAGAAGAAGCCCAAATGGAAATTTAATGTTGGCAATCATGTACTTTTGTGTTTTTAGGCATAGTCATCAGATATTGGCACTGTTGCATGCTGTCTACTCCGATTACGAGGAAAAATGTTCGATTAGATTAATCGAGGACCAAACAACTACGCTAATGGAACTTAAGGAATGCCTTTTGAATGAACTGGCTGCCAAAATCGAAAACCCTACGGACGTTCGAGAGATCCTCCAGCGTGAACTTAAAACAGATCGCTTTTATTTAAAATCATCTATTTGATCACACACGTTTCCTCAATTTTAATTTTACATTGGTAAATTCACAAGTCCATCTCCGTTACCGTTACCGCGATTGTCGATACCGACGTGAATGTTAACAAACTTGCCAATCCGATTATCACGTTCGTCATCATCCGTTTCGTTTTCTGGCACTTCTGTTTCATCGTCCGCTGCCAAGACACGCTTCTTCAAAGCCTCTTTCGGTGATAGTTCAATCTCAGCTCCATGCTCACCCTCGTACGGTTCCGGTTCGTACTCGCCATCTCCGTCGTGTAGAATGTCCACGAAAATTGACACCAAAGGATCATCGTCCGGAATATGATGGGAACTGCTGGACAGGACGTATCGTGGATCGGCTTGATCGATTTCGGCTTGGACGTTCTCGGCAAGTGGGGCTGCCTGGATGCAGGCAATGATGCAGAGCACTGCAAAGAAGACTAAATATCTCATGTTGTTTGTTTTGTAACGTTAGACTAGCGGCAAATGAAAAACTTCGATCAACTTTGAGCGTCGGTCTTTTATAATTTGAAATCGGTTGGTTGTAAAGATTGCTCGTCCCAATGCGGTAATTTGGTTTATGAGCTATCTGCTACGGTATGCAATAAGAGATTTTTTTTTTTTTTGAATTTGGGCAGAAAAGAGTGTGATGGGCAGCTGTTTATTTCACTAATAAGTCATCCTTGTTTAATGTCGTTTACTCAAGTAGTTTATTGATAAAACAACCACAGCCATAATTGAATAAACTCATGCAACATATTATGTAATAATATGTTTCATGAGCCTAGAAAGAGTAAGAGTCTAAAGGGTGTCCACGATGAAATTGCCACACACAAAATTGATTCGCAAAATTCGAGTTTTCAGCCGATTGCCATCAAATTTTCAGGGATTGAGAAATAACTGTTAAACTTCATTTTACCATTTTACTCGTATTTTATTTACAGTCCATACGCAAATGCCCGCACCTTGGCCTTAACCCCGGCCATAAGATTCTGCACAACCTGTAAATCAACCGTTTTTTGCATGTAAACCCATACTTTCTTCAGTTCCTCGACTGTCTTCACTACCTTAGGTCGTTTAAGAAGGTGCTGCTTCATAATCGCCCAGTACTTCTCGATGGGGCGGAGCTCGGGAGTGTTGGGAGGGTTGAACATTTTCGGCATGAAATTGACCTTATTGTCCGCATACCACTTCAGCACGTCCTTGGAGTAGTGGCATGAGGCCAAATCCGGCCAGAAGATTGTTGGGACGTTGTGGGCCTTCAGGAGAGGAAGCAGCCGCTTCTGGAGGCACTCTTTTATGTACACCTGTCCGTTCATCGTGTCCTGGGTCACGAAAGGTGCACTCCGCTTCCCGCACGTGCAGATGGCTTGCCAAACCAGGAATTTCTTCGCAAATTTGGACATCTTCTGAGTGCGGACATGCTCCGGAACGCTGAACTTATCCTTGGCCGTGAAAAACAGGTTGCCGGGGATCTGTTTGAAGTCGGCCTTCACATATGTTTCGTCGTCCATGATGCAGCATTCAACTTTCGTCAGCATGTTGAGGTACAACTTCCTGGCACGGGTTTTGGCGGACTTGGTCTGCTTCTCGTCGCGATTAGGGGCCTTTTGTACCTTGAACGTTCGAAGCCCAGCCTTAGTTTTGGCCTTCTGGACAAAACTTCGGCTTAGGTGCAGCTTCTTAGCCACATCCCTAACGGAGGCGTTCGGATTTCGGTTGAAGGCCCCAACTACGCGGTTGTGATTTTTGGTGTTGTACGGAATACTTTTTCCTTCACTTCTGGGCTTCCGATCGGTGGTCAACCGTTCCTCGAACCGCTTAATCACTCGCGACACCGTGGAATTCGCGATTCCCAACGTTTTAGCGATGGAACGATGCGAGAGATCCTTGTTCTCGTGATGAATGCGCAAGATTTTATCACGCACGAGCTGTTCTTTCGACTCCATTTCCGCGAGTTTTGATCACAGGACTTTAAAACTTGCAGGATGTAAATAATGCACTATGAACTAAATCCACCCAAATTTTCATTAAATTCTACCCAACGGTTAAAAAGTTAGAGCAATTTCATAGTGTGGCAATTTCATCGTGGACACCCTTTAGTATATATTTGTTAGAGTTTAGTATACATTTGTTGGATTATTATATATTTGTAAACAAACGAAATCGATAAAATCTCGTTGCTTGCTTCGAGTCGAAATCCAACAAACAAAGTTTTAAACTAAATTGATAACAAATTCTGATACCCGGTTGTAAAGGTTTGATAACTGAATATTAATAATTGTGGTTGAATTAACAGCCAACATAACAAGCTAACAGCTTACTCGTTGGATATTAAAAAAATAACTAATTTTGTTATCATTGAAAACAAACAACAAATCCTGTGATATAAGCGAATTTTTTAAAACCGTTAATTATGTTATTTATGTGATATTAAAGTCTTACGCTGATAGCTGAAATATGATTAGCATATTTTTGTTTTACCATGCAAATAATATTTCCAGATAAACATTTCAAAAGGTCCTATCTGTCTTATCTATAACTCAGCTAAAATAAACCATTCCCTGTTGTATTTGACGTTTTGGACGCTAGATAAAAAAGCTCATTTTTTTTTGAAAAATTTGGAAAAATTTAAAATTTATAATTGTTTCGTAATTGGAGCACATTTTCCGCGATTCGAATTGCCAGTGATTACCTGTTAAAATGAAATAGTGCTGTTCCGTGTTGTATTTATACATCGGTGCTGATCCGGTCATCAACTACCATAGACCTGGATTCGATTGCCCGGTTCTGAGTTGCCACCAACGCCGAGATTCAAGATGTAACTTGCACGAGCAGCTCAATTCCTGGTACAAATGGCCAATCATCAGTTACAGAAGATCATCCATTCCGAACTCAGCGAGTGCACGTACATCGACGGTGTGCAGGACCTACGTTTTTGCGATATCCCCCAGCTCGTTCCTGTAAAGTCACCAAACTCTTAACGTCCCATCGTTCGGTGCGATCATGTTGCTGAGGAACACTAGCGTGAACAGGAATCTTGTTAAGGAGGGGCAATTTTTTTTACTATGGTGCATTTAATCTGGGGATGGGGAGTACTCCAAAGTGCGTGGGAGATGGTGCTGTCCACCCACCACTGTTTCCCTACTGTTTAATTTAGCAAATTTTATTTATTTTTTGATCCGGTGGTGGTTCATCTTCTTCAATGCAAACTGCGGAAATTGGCAATTTAATCGCATCGACGATGCTGAACCACAGTACCGTCAGTCGGGGTGACAGAAAATTATGCCGAACTTTCAACATGTTTTAAAGATGATATAAAAGACAAACCCGAATTTATTGCAACGCACATAAACAGCTGTAACTTTTTAACCACGGTAACAAATGACTTGAAATTTTCAGAGAAGATTTAGTAAGACAACAATAGACCAAGGTTCAATGGCAAACTAATACCCACATTTCAATTAGGGAATCCAAAAGCTGTCTTTAAACTTTGTACAGTTGCGAAAAAGTTCTTCCTCAGAATTCTTTGAGGTTCTCTTCGAAATTTTTAGAGCTCTATGAGCTCTTTTGAAGTTCTTCTCAGAAGTTCTCAGGAATTATTTTTAGAATTCTTCTTGACTTTTACTTAGAACACCTTGGAACTGAAATTTCCTTAGAGTTTCAGAAGAATTTCCTAAAAAAATGTTCCTGGAATGAGCTAGAAATTATCGGTACTCCCTTGAAATTTTCCTCAAAATGCCTTTGGAATTTCACTAAAAATTTAATTTTCCCGGTATTCTTTTCGGAATTATCTAGGAACAATTTGCAAGATTCACTAGAAATTACACGCCGAATTTTCTTGGACCACTCTCCAGAAATCTTTTGGAACTGTCCTCAGAATTCAATATCCTTGATGTTCTTCTCGGATTTTTTTAGAACTCTCCTAAGAGCTCTTTTGAAATTCTTCTCAGAAATTCACTGGAATTATTTTTAGAACTCTTCATGATTTTTTCTCAGAACACATTGAAATTGAATGAGCTAGAAATTATCCTCGGAATTCACTTGAAAGTTTGCTTAAAATCACTTAGAAATTACACTCAAAATTGGATTTTCTCGGTATTCTTTTCAAAATTGTATTGGAACTATCTGCAAAATGCACTAAAAATTATATGCAGAATTTTCTTTGAATTCTCCGCAGAAATATTATGGAACTGTCATAAGAATTCAATATCCTTGAGATTCTTCTCGGAATATTTTACAACTTTTTTTTTCTCAGAACAGCTTGGAACTGAAATTCCCCTAAAGTTTCAGAAGAATTTCCTCTGTATTCTCCAGAGAGTCTTTCCAGAATTACCTTGAAATTATCCTCGGAACTCCATTGAAGTTTTTCTCAACATCCCTTTGGAATTTCATTCAAAATTTGATTCTATTGGTATTCTTTTCGAAATTATCTTGGAACTATCTGCAGGATTCACTAGAAATTATTCGCAGAATTTTCATGGAATCATCCCCAGAAATATTTTCTTTTAGAACTGTCCTCAGAATTCAATACCCTTGAGGTTCTTCACGGAAATCAAGTTTAAGTTGTCCGCCCATTCACCAAATCGTTGTAGATTTTCTACCATAAATCTTCAATAAAGCATTTTCCACCAGACATTTTCAATATAGCTGGCTTCTCCTATCATCAGAATGTTGCAGGTTTTCCACCAAATAAAGCTTGCACCTATTTTTAGATTTTTCATCATAAATTTTCAGTAAAGCAGCTTCCCTCCAATCATCAGAATGGTGCAAATTTTACACCAGAAATTATTATTAAAGTTTGTTTCTCTATTCAGCAGAAGGATGCAAATTTAAGACATTTTTTTTCCAAAAAGCTTGCCCATCCGTTCACCAGAACGGTGCAGATTTTCCACCAGATATTTTCAATATAGCTTAATTTTAAATAAAGTTTGTGCCTTCATTTACCAGATCAGTGCAAGTTTTTCACCAGAAATTTTCCGTTCATTTCATTTATCAGAGCGATGCAAGTTTTTCACCAGAAATTTTCAATAAAGCATGCTCCTCCATTAACCAGAACGGTGCACCAAAAATTGTCAGTGAAGTATGTTTCACAATACACCTTTGTGGTGCAATTTTCATGCTTTGCCTCTTCATGCACCAGAATGCTACAAATTTTCCACCATAAATTTTCAATGAAGCTTGCATTCATCAGAACGATGCAAATTATGCACCAGAAAAATGAATAAACCTTGCTTCTACATTCACCACAGTGTAGCGAACTTTCCACCAGACATTTTCAGTTAAATGTGCATCTCCAAATTTTTAGCGTTATTCAATTTTTCCAATTTTCATTTTGATTAGTCCCTCCATGCACCACCTTGATGATATTTTTACACTAGAAATATTCAATATAAAGCTTTTTCTTCGATCTACCATCACGAAAGTGAATTTTTTCAACCCTCAATTTACCCTCTTCTCTAACCCCTCCATGAACCACTTTGAAAAAAAATACACCAGAAATTTTTTGTATGCACCACTGTGGTGCAAAACTGCACTGTGTTGCAACCAAAAAAATCATTGAAGTTTGCACCCTTCATGCACCTTTGTGGTGCAATTTTCAGGGATCATCTCAAAGGAATTGACGCAATAAAAGGTTTTCAGTTTCACCATATTTGACACATTCCTAATGATGACGCACTCGTATATTTTTGATCGCATCTCGATTTTGGCAAGAATTTGTTAAAACCTTGTTACACCATCGTTACAATGCTTTTTATAGATTTTTAGCCTATGTCTAGTTCATCTCCGAAATTGCAAATGCATTTGACAACACTTGTCATTCTATTTTATCTATCGCCAGTGAAAAATGCTGCTTCCAAAACAGTCTGGAAGCTAGTAAGGTTGATTGATTGATTGATTTATCTTTATTTAGGAGGCTTTCAGCCTGAGGTTGGTTCGCCTCCAAAGTAGTAAGGTTGAATTCGAAAGACTGATATGATGAAAATCTATCATTAGGGAAATGATGAAGGACTGATAACTCGAATGACAAAATGAAAAAAGGCAGCGTAAGAATTATCAAAATGATTTTAATTTAAGAATAATGTCAAAGTTTCCTTCACGAAACGAAAATCAATTATTTTATCCATGTGTTTCACTTATACATTTTTGCCAAAGCATCAGCCTTATACATTCCATAAGACAAACCACATAGTTCCTATAAGAATGCATAAAAGGTATGTTTGACCGCTTATACATTTCATTTGACACATGATCTTCATTAACTTTTTGTAAGGCGTCTGCTTATTACTTGACTTATACATTTTATGAATAATCAGCAATAGAAATTTGCTAAAAGGTATAAGGAGATTTCTATCCGTGTTGAATATTTCAATAAAGATTATCCGGTAGCTTCCAACCACAAAATAGTTATTTTAGCATCCAAAACGCTTAAGGATTTTTAAGCGTGCTTACAATCTCTCCTATCGCTACTATTCTGTCAAAACCAAAACAGCGTTAGACAGTGTCACATCTAGGCGTAACGATTTCGAATGTCTTCTTTGCTCGTGGGTTTATTATCGAAGCATCGACCGGCCGTCCGACAGACGACGATAAGCCAACGAGGATAGGATAGTTCAAAACAATCCAAACCGACTAGCCATTCTTGCCTCGATTCAAAATTAAGTATACATCGTTATACTATAGTTTAATCAACGTAATTGAATATACTACGACGACCATTCCAATTGGACAATCTGCCGAACAGAGTTCATGAGCTGATAAGAAAGGTACACAGACTTGGTTGGTGCTTAGTGCTTGTAGAATTTAAAGAGAGATAGTTAGAACAATATTCGTTCCATAATGACCGCCGATTTGGAGCTAATCAAGAAACATATTGGTGAATATCCAGATTTCCCGACGAAGGGAATTCTGTTCAAGTAAGTAGTACTCATCAATTGAAGAATTAGTTCATCTGAGCTTCTCGTTTTAGGGATATTTTCACCGCCTTGCGAAACGGTCCGGTCTGCCAAGCGTTAAAGCGGTTAATAATCGCTCACATTCGTAATACCTGTCCGCATATTGAGGTCGTAGTTGGCCTTGAAGCGAGGGGTTTTCTATTCAGCCTACTGATTGCCGCTGAGTTGGGAATCGCATGTGTTCCAATTCGTAAAAAGGGAAAACTACCTGGCGAATGTGTCAAGTATGAGTACAAACTGGAGTACGGCACGGTATGGAATCTTGTTTCTTTGTTTGTTTGTAGTCAAACGATTAAGGTGAGATATTTTTGCAGGACGTATTCGAGATTCAACAGGGTAGCATCACGCCCGGACAGAAGGTACTGATCATTGATGACTTGCTGGCCACGGGTGGAACGATGGATGCTGCTAACAAGTTGGTACATCAGATTGGCGGTGTTGTTGAGCAGAATTTGGTTATAATCGAGCTGACCTCGCTGGGTGGTCGGAAGAAGCTGGAAGCATCCGGTTTCAATATACATTCCTTTATTGAATACGATGATGTTGAGTGATTTTGGGGAAATTTGAAAATCTTTAAAGACATAATATATACGTGCTATAAAATATGCACTAGAAGCAATGCTATGAGAATTTACCTTCAATTTTACAATCGATATTTAATGTTAACTTGTTTTTAGTTCGTTATTCACTTGAGGCGGCATAAAATCTTCCGCAGGCAATACAGTTAAGCTTCTTTTCCTAAATGAGTCCACTAATAACACTATAGTTCTAGGTCTTTTTGATCAACTGTACAATTAACGTCTGGCTGAAAATCTCCTTAATAAAGACAACCAACCAATCAACTGTGCAATTACGCTTATTTCATCCATCGATCGTTATTTGTTATGGCATCCTGTCTTGATTTTCTGAATGTTAGTTAGTAATTTACGAGAGTATTCTTTTGAGGTAATGCTAAGGGAAACGATCAGATTATGGTCAGATGAAAATTCTTGTTCTCGCTGCTCGTTACTAATGAACTCTTTTAAATATGATATCTATCTGAAATTTTTAATGCCGTATCAGAATAGAAGAAACTGGAAACACTTGATCTCCATATCCTGGAAGATTTTTTTCGGGTAAGTTTCTACAAAGTTTAGGCTAGTCGGAAGGTAATATTATGGTGACATTTTCGTGAGATAGGGGAAATGGCTCTAATGTTGGCCTATGGATCTAAGATTGGGGCCATCGCAAAAAAAATCTGCTATTTATCAATTTTATATAGATGAACGCGTCATTGGGACGGTACTAATGGATATTTTTGGTCGCTATTGAAAATTTAGTCGATTCCTGAATTTATGTATGGGGCATTTAGGCCTACATTACATCTATTTCCCCTATATACGTAAATATTTTAAAGAGTAGTTCTTATGTTTTCACTCCCTAAGATTTTTTTTAGCCGGCATGAAAATTTGTAATTGCTTTTTGGATATTCAACCAAAACATATAAATTTTTCACAGCTCAATGTTTTGAGTAAATTGAATTGGTTCTGTTTCTTTCGTCTTTGGTTCAGTTTGGTTTGAAGTTGAAAACTCAGTTAGGGGAGACTTGATCTCTTAAGTTTAAGACAAAATCCTGAGATATGAGCTTGAAAAATACTTTATTTGGGGAGAGATGGATATGATTCCAGGATGTGTGTAACAATTAATATTAAAATGCATATAACTCTCCCATATTTTTTTTTCTATGTTTTCTGGAATCCGTTTTTGGACATCTGTAAGAAAAAAAAGTGCGTTTGGGATATTCACCTACATTCTTGTTTTCGTTCAAACCGTATTTTCGATACAAACAGCTTTTTTTTGCTGCATTTGTTCATCCAGCTCTTGATGGTTCTTCTTTATGCTGCGATAACAGTGTCAGACATAAACATAAAACGACCCTGGGAGCGTTCCCTTCCACGTTTGGACTAAGGGAAGTAAAAAAATGGAGTAACAGGCTAAAAGTCTCCTTAATCTATCTATCTATATATATAAAAATGAATTTCTGTCTGTCTGTCTGTCTGTCTGACCCTTATAGACTCGGAAACTACTGAACCGATTGGCGTGAAAATTTGTATACAGGGGTTTTTGGGGCCGTGGAAGGTTCTTATGATGGTTCGAGACCCCTCTCCCTTCTGTAAGGGGGGGGGGCTCCCATACAAATGAAACAGAAATTTCTGCTTAACTCGAGAACTAATCAAGCAAATGGAACCAAATCAGGCATGTGGAGGTCATAGAGGGTAGTCCCTTAGATAAGAGGGGGAGGGGGCTACGTACAATATAGCATACTTTTTTTTATTGGCGCATAAACTCAAGCTAATTTCAGGTGAAATGGAGCATTAGATTCCGAAATTTGTGTAATTGAAAATTAGAAGTGGAAGTGCATGTATAACCTATGTGGTGGCCATTTGTAGAATCTACACGGAATGACCTTACAGGTGTTAAATTTCAATAGATTTTTAGTGGAAGGGATTTGATAATCGAAAAATCACGCCCTACCTACCGGAATTCTTTTTTCGATTTTAAGAATCTGAATCCCTTTTTATTATTATTATAGACACTTTAACGCTCTTGGGTCATTCGTGACTTTTCTGGGGGTGAGATATGAACTCGTGACTTTGGCGTGAGAGGAATGGATTCTAAACACTACGCCGGGGTCGCCCCCAATTTGAATCCATCTACTCGCATCGCGTTGCAACTTTCTGCAGAAATTCTTCAGCGTTTCTCAGATGACAATGATCCAAGCCTTCGTAAAATGGCTAAGCAACTGATATCACTCATTCGAAGGAGGTCCGCTTTGATAGCTGATAGCTGCTTTTCTCATTTTCATCAAAAATGTTCAATTGATTTTGAGAATTTACAGCACTGAAATCTTTGTCAATCTTCTTTCTATCTACTCATCGCGAACACCTCGCTTGGCAGCAAAACAATATGATGCGTTTCCAACCGATCAACGACAAACTTACCTGATATGCTTTACCTCGTACGTTACGAGAAGCCTAGTTGAGCGACATCAGACCGAGGATCAATCACGCTATCACCACTGCGAAATTCTAGTCGTATGTTATCGAGCGCCAACTCAGTGTGTCTATTGAGGACTGCAATTCGATCGCTATCTCAGCAACTTCAGGTATTCCTCAAGGAAGTCACCTCGGGCCAATAATTTTTCTTATTTATTTGAACGATGTGAACTTTGTGCTAGAGACACCTCGTTTGTCTTTCACTGATGATCTTAAGGTTTTTCTCGAGATTCAAACATGCTGACGCTATGTTTCTACAAAATCAGATTGCTAGATTCAGTGACTGGTGTGACTTGAACCGCATGGCAGAGTAAACCCTAACAAGTGCTCGATAATCACCTTCTCTCGCAAAAAAGTGCCCTTAAAGTTCAATTACACACTCCTGGGTTTTTAATTTGATCGAGTAAGTCACGTGAAGGACCTGGGTATTATCTTCGACTCACAACTGACGTTCAAAAAGCACATTGTATTCATGGTAGACAAAGCCTTCATATCTTTGAGGTTTCTCTTTAGCATAGCTAAGGATTTCACTGACGTGTACTGCCTTAAATCGTTATACTGTTTCCTAGTAAGATCTACATTAGAATATGGTGCAGCTGTTTAGAACCCGAGTCAGTTCAACGCAGATTTATTCGCTACGCACTTCGGCGACTACCGTGGCGTGATCCTTTTAGTCTGCATCCCTATGAGGAACGTTGTTCGTTAATACACATAGAACCTCCCAACACTCATCGCGACACTCTAAGGGTGTTCCTTTTTCAGAGGAATAATTGTTTTGCTAGGCTCATTGCCGAAAACATATCCAGCGACCGAGTGTTCTTCGGGTTAAAGTTTCACAACTAACAATATTGCATGCACAAAACACAGTTTATTTTTCTTAAATTACACTACACTCATTTAATCAAAGTTTATTTTTGTAACTTAACTAAACACTAAACAAATAATTGATTATCTTCATCGTTTGCCGAAGATGGCGACATAGATTGTCGGCGCGATGAATTTGTGGGCTACGCACCCAGCTGCGACGGTGGATTGATGTGCACTGACTCGTCCTATGGTGTATTGGTTTTCCCTTCGGTGCGGATGCTGTAGAGAGATGACATCGCGAACAGTGGTATGTTCCGTACAGTCGATGTGTGGGATATCGATCGGTGATTGTCCATTGCGTTGTGTTGCTAAGTTGGTGGTGGAGCGTTCATCGGTCACAGATTCGAGGACAGACGTATTGATGGTGTCGAACATCCTGCCCTCTGCAGAAATAACTATTTCTGGACTTCGACGGGACGTTGATTATCAGATAATCGTAGACATGCAAAGAAATAAGAGATCCGGTAGGCCTTTTCTACTGAAGTAAAAGATATGGACAGATCCTCACCTGGACCCTCCGGTATGAGAGCCTTGTATTGATTTGAATGCGGCTATTGAGTATCGGTGTAAGGTTGATCAGCTTGCTGAAACCGACGTTGCCAGGTTGATCCAAAAAGGAAACCTCTAGCTAGACCGCGCGGGCGGCTCTTCTGATGTGGTCGTTTGGTCGTCGTTGGGTGGTGGTATGGGTAGAACACAGATCTTTGAAGTTGGGCGTGTAAGCAAACTGGAGCCAGTCTGCAGTGTGACGACGCGGACAACGCCATCTTGACCTGGGTGGAGCTCGTGAATTCGAGCGATAGGCCAACGCATTGGTGGTTGATTCTCGTCCACGATGACGACGACTTGATTCTTCTTTAGCTCTATTGGTGGTTTTATCCATTTGCTGCGAGGTTGCAGTGCTTGCAGATATTCTACGTGCCAGCGTTTCCAGACATCCTGAAGCATTTTCTGGATCTGCTGCCATTGGTGAAGCCGATTCATCGGAATAGACTCGTAGTCGATGTCTGGAACAGACTGTAGCGAGGATCCGACGATGAAATGACCCGGCGTTAGAGCCTGCAAATCCGATGGGTCGTCGGAGAGTTTGGTCAACGGGCGAGAGTTGAGGCAGCCTTCGATTTGTACGAGAAGTGTCTCCATATCATCAAAGGCTAGTTTTCGGTCACCAAGCACACGGACAAAGTGTTTTTGCGCTGACTTGATCGCTGCTTCCCATAGACCTCCAAAATGGGATCCACGAGGAGGATTGAAATGCCAGCGGATTCCTGAAGTCGAACATTCACTGGCGATGGAGTGGCGAAAGTCTTCGGAGCGCAACAGTCTTCGAAGCTCGTTAGCGGCACCGACGAAATTCTTGCCGTTGTCAGTGTATACATCTGCGCACAGACCGCGACGAGAAACGAAACGACGGAAAGCTTGAAGAAATTTCGCCGTACTCAGATCACCAACAAGTTCTAAGTGAACGGCCTTTGTGCTGAAGCACACGAACACTGAAACGTAGGCTTTTGTTGGTGCGTCTCTACGGTGACGAGGTTTGAGATAGATCGGCTTCCAAAAGTCGATACCAACGACGGAGAATGGCCGTGAAGCAGTGACACGCTGCGAGGGAAGTTCGGCCATGAACTGTTCGATGGCTTTGGGCTTTGCTCGTACGCACGTAACGCAGTTATGAACAATGCGACGGGTAGTATTTCTGCCTCCTAAGATCCAGAATCGTAGTCGGATGGTGTTGGTAAGAAGCTGCACTGCTGCGTGAAGAAAACGTTCGTGCAGACATCGAACAAGAAGCGTTGTAAACGGATGTGATCCTGGGAGCAGAATTTGATGTCGCGAATCGAAAGGTTGGGAAGAACGATCTATTCGTCCACCTATTCGTAAAATGTCGTCGGAATCGATCATCGGATGGAACCAACGGAGCCGAGAATGA